AGATTATAGCCAATACCTGCTCTGGTCAGTACCTCTCCTCCATCTGGGAAGAGCCAGAAACTGGTAAGTTTCTTCAGTTTCCCTATTTGCTATTTCATCAAGATTGGGCCCTCCTTCCTCCTGATTGACTGTCATCCACCCTTGATTCCTTGATATCATTAGTCTTATAGACTCACTGACAGGTTCTTTTAATGTAATCATTCCAGAGAGGGTCCTTTGAACAGTAGTAGTAATTAATTGCACCATGCAAGGGACACACATTGGGAGTAGTATGACTCCACTTATTGCTATTAACAAAAACCATAATACCTGCTTCCACCAGGATCCCCCAAACCAGGACCACCAGCGAGTATTAAATGAAGAGGACCAGGTCTGTACTGGGACATAGGTAGTCTTTCTTATTTCCTTATTAATATCTCTAACAGTTTGTCCCACATCATCTATTTTCATACAAGTGGACAGGTTCAGTTTTCCGCAGACACCTTCTTCCTCAGCTAAGAGATAATCCAAGACTAACCTGTGTTGTAAGATAGCCTCCCTGCTTTGGTCTACAAAAGCAGACAAGAGGTCAGTAATCATAGCAGTTTGATTAGTAATAATTTCCACCACCGCTTGGAGTCTAATTATTCTGTTAAGCATATATATTGGGGTCCGATATCCCCAGCTCCCATCTTGCACCCAAGTAGCAGGTCCATATTTCTTTATAATCCTTTCAGAGGGCCAAGTATCTCCCCACCCATTTGCATTTCCCATGCTAGCAATGGAGGTGTCAATGGCTTGCTTGTTCCTTTCTAAATCATCATATACTTGTATCCCCAAATGTTTGCCTCCTTGTCCTGAGAGGAAAAAGAATTTGAGATGGACTAATCCAATATAGCATATCCCAGTCCAATCAACAGGAAGGTGGGTGTAAGCAGTGAGGCCACAGATCCAATAATGCCCCCTCAAACCTGGCTGTTTGTGATGGAACATAGCAGAGTAATTCCCCACTTTTGGGTAATATTCCCTGCCTCTGGGTCCTAGTGGCCCACCCTCACTCCCATTCCTATACTGACATTTCCACAGTATCACATTCTCTTCCCACTCGCAGCTAATCGTGAGGGAATTCATCTCACTCCAATACTCTTGGAAATAGCCCCTCTCCCCACCAGTTTCATTGACCCACCCCATTCCCTATAGAGGACTTTGATGGTTCCCTTTTCTCCCTTACATTGGGACATTTCCTCCCTTAATTTGATCAGTGTGGGGTTCCTCAAAATTGTGATTAAGTGTGGGGGTACCTATTCTATTCCACTGCCGTTGAATCTCAGTGCAGTTATATGATCTGATTCCTAAGAGCCCCTTAAAGGTCCATTCACAACTACTGTTTCCTAATGGGGTCTTTCCCTCCATTTGATTCAGACAGTACAACCCCTTCTTTTTCTCAGCAAGGGGCCATGAATGTTCTTCTCATTCCTCCCAGGATCCTGTCCCCTTATTAACTACTGACTTATTACTAAGGAGCCATTCTGGCTTTAGGGGAACAGGGACCTTCTCTGGAATGATTACATTAAAAGAACCTGTCAGTGAGTCTATAAGACTAATGATATCAAGGAATCAAGGGTGGATGACAGTCAATCAGGAGGAAGGAGGGCCCGATCTTGATGAAATAGCAAATAGGGAAACTGAAGAAACTTACCAGTTTTGGTGTGAGAAACTTTCAACTATGAAATGAGAGGGGGGAACTGTGTGGGACAAGTGAAAGTTTCTCATATGAAATGGAAGCTATGCCCCAGAAATTTAGTTAAGGCTTTAGCATTAGCTGGGCCTAAATTTCGTTTTCCTATAAATCATATAATAGGGTCATACACCAGCTGCCCACCCCCTCCCTTGTTTTGTAACCATCACCCCCAGCCTTATCCTTACCAAATAAGGCAATCTTCTAGCTTCCAAGCTTGGTTTGGGTAAAATGTATCTCTTGGGTTCTAAATAAAGATTGTAAGGTCTCTTGTCTCAACCAATGAGGATAAAGAGATTGAGGTAAACAAGTGGGGAGGGGGGGTTTCTTGGAGTGGTTTGTCTAAGGGTATATAACTGGTTGTTTGCTGTTGTATCTTGCCTCACTACTCCGGTCTGCCCTGTGTAGGTGATGCCCAACTGTCGAGCGAGACTTGCTAGAATAAAACTTCTGTTTTCTACCTGGAGAAACCTCTGAGTTTTTATTTGGGTAAGTGGTCTCAATCCCACTCAGCATGAACCTAGAATTGTATATAGTACTCCTGATATAGTCTAAGCAGAATAGAGATAACAACTCACATGCCTTCCTCACCAGTATGTATCATTATTCATCTAAGTTTTTATAGCTGGGCCTAGAGGGCTAGGCTACTGTACCCATTCCCTTCACCACTACCTCCAAGGAGAGAAATTAGGCTTCTTTTTGTCACTATTAGGCTCATTATACCCTACATACACACACACACACACACACACACACACACACACACACACACTTTGAATCCTGGAATGGATTTAGTTAAAGCTTAGGTTTTGGCTCATATCTACCTAGGCTGTCCCTAAAGCAGGGAGGGTAGAAAGATACTCAATGTACAATATGAATCAGAGGTATGGGGAACCATCCAACCCCAGACACATCCATCTTAAGATCAACATTCAGAAAGGAAACACTAAATGGAAAGAGCAGCCAAGGGCCCACACTCAAACCTGTCTCATTAAGACCCCTTTTCTAGCTGATCCATGGAAGCAGTCAGTCACCATGAGGTTAGGGTAGGGGAAGAGCACCAACCCCTCCCCCATCCCTCTAGCAAGAGGTTCCTCATATGCTCATCAGGAGGAAGGGAAGTGAGGCCAAGGGCAGAGTCATTCCCTTTTTAAAGGTCTTCTGAATCATTCATTGGTTCTTCCTACTCTGTGGCCAATGAAGGGATTGCTTCTTTGTCGCAAAGGGGGAACCCTTCAACACTGAGCCCTACATAGTTGGAAGCAGCCTTTGTCATTCCCGAAGCACCCAAGTGCTGAGCTAGCATATGTGAGCAGTCAGCATAAGGAAGGGCAGTTTTGTCTATGCCCTGTTCAGATGTAGTTGCATTCCCAATTGGCAGATGAGGAAACTGAGGTTCTAAGAGGTGATTTGCTTATAGTCACAGAACCAGCGTATAGTAGGATTTGAATTCAGGTCTCCTGACTCCAAATCTATAAGTCTTTCAGTTATACTACACTGCCTATTAACATTCTCCCTCTGGGCACTATTCATGTAGTCTAAATATGAATTAGTTGTTTTGGCCATCTCATCACACTGCTGACTCATACTGCACACAGTCCACTAAAACCCCCAGGTCCTTGGGAGGCTAAGAGGGAGGATTCTGTTGCAGTCATCCAATGTGCAAAATGATGAGGCCTTGGCCCTAGGCTATGGCTATGGAAACAAGAGGAAGAATTGTGTGTGGGGGAGGAGGGTACCCTCTTTGCAGCGTGGAGGTTCCCAGTATTACGATCCTATCCTAAGCCCAGACTTCTATCTCTTAGGACTAATGAGGTTTCTGGCTACAATGCGGGCATCCCAAAGAATTACAACCCTGGCATAGACCTTTCTTTTGGGCCTCAGTTTCCCTTTAGGAGTTGTACAGACTCATGTGAGGATGGTGTAGCTTCCTAATCCTGATAATAGTTTCAGGGACACTCCCTGCTTTCAAAATTAAAGCCCCCAACACACAGGAGGGACCAATGTTGCTTCAGAGAGTGGCTGACACACCCTATCCCAGAAGTGGCTGCATTTCTGGCTTAACTGGGGACCCAGCCAATGGCCAACAGAGAATACCAGGGAGGTCCTCAGCTCCTGACCCCTGACCCCTGACTCTGACCTCCACTTCCAGTTTGGAGAGGGGGTTAGGAGTTTCTGTGAACAGGCTATCCCTGCCCTAGATTTATTAGGGGAGGGAGGACTAGAGGCAGCTGCATTCCGACTCACAGATGGGAACATTTCTGCAATCCGCTGTAATGCACTGGGAGACACTGGGCACATTGCTGAAGTTTGACTCATAGGGACAGGGAGGGTGGAGGGGGGAACTGGAATTGGAGGGGGAGGAATGAGAAGAGAGGAAGGAGAAAGGAGGGAAGGAAATCCCTTGGGAAATTCCTTTTAAAAAAAACAACCCAAAACTTTCAAAATAAACATTGTTGTGTTCCCCTTTTCTTTTTCTAGGATCAGGCAATTCCCTTCTATTCCCCCTAGCAAAGACAGGAAGATTGGAAGGAGGTGGGAGCGAGTTGGATAGGCAGTGATTCAAATCAGATCTTGAAACTTTTCCCCTGCAAAGTTATGTGTGTAGCTGGAATTCCAAGCGTGGGACTTTGCCTGTAAATTACCGTGTGTCTGTGCTTGGGTGTATATGTCTGGATGTGTATATATGTGTCTATTTTTCTTTCTTTCTCTGCAGGTGTATATCTATTTCTACCTATTGAAGTATGGGTGTGTATGTTATATATGTGAATATGAGTCTAGGCGTTTATGTATGCATCTGAGTGCCCCTTTTCAGGGATTGCTTTCTTTTTGTGTCACTGTGTTCCTGCGTGCAAACGTATGGGTTTGGGCGTCTTCCTCTCGGTGTATTTATGTCGTCTGGGCCTCTGAATTTTGTACCGTCTCCTTAGTCAGCTGTCTTTGGGTGTCATGCCTTCTCCTCTTTGTAAGTAAGGATCGTCAGTTTCTGCTGTGTGTGTGTCTGTGCGCGGCGAGTCTCTGTGCTGTGTATGAATGTTTCGTGCCTCGGTGTGGCGCCTGTGTCTGGGTTGTGTGTGGAGCCGCGCAGCGCTGGGCTGTGTTGTGCTGGGCTGAGCTGAGCTGGGCTGGGCTGAGCTGGGCTGGGCTGGGCTGCGCTGGGCTGGGCTGCGCTGGGCTGGGCTGCGCTGGGCTTCTCGGGGCTGGGCTGGCTGTGTGCACCCTCCCCTCTCCTCCCTTCTCTTCTCCTCCCCTCCCCTCCCCTCCCCCTTGGCCCGCTCTCAGACTCAGATAAAGCATTTCCTTCCATTGTCATCCTACCCGGACGGCCCCGCTGCCAGGGCCCTCCCCCTCCCGGCCCCCTCCCTTCCTCTCCCGGTCTCGCCGACTCTCTGCAGCCTCTGGTGCCTCGGGGGATGTAAGGCCGGCGCCCCCGACCCCTCGCGCCCGCCTTGATTCCCACTATGAGCCCCCCGCTCTGAGGGCCCCGGCCCCTGGATGCACAGACCCGGTGCTGGTGAGTACATCGCCCGCCCCGGCCCGGCCCCAGCCCCAGGTCTCCGCCTCCTCCTCCCTGCCCTGCGTTGGCACGGTCCCGGCCCCCCACCGCACCCCGAGCCCGCGGGCCCCCCAGTGCAGCTGGGCGCAAAGCTGGCCCTGCGCTTTTCTTCCCTCTCGCTCCTCCACGGTTGGGGCCCTTGGATCGTTTGGGCCCCACGGGGTGGGGGGAGTGGAGGCTAGCTCCAGGTCGTGGCCGGTTCCAGGGCCGTGGGGCTCCCACATTAGCCCGCCCCTGGGGTAGCAACAGACCAGAGGAGGGAGGCCCGCGGGCTGCTTTCTCTGCGCCCTGCTGCCTCGAGTCCCTTATCCCCCACTCCTGATCCTGGGGAGGGTGTGCCAGGCCCGTCCAGGGAGCTGTGTAGGGGGGCCGGGCGATGCACCCGTGCTGGCCATTTGTCTTGTTGTGCCTTCCTGGGTAAGACATCGCCTCCCCCCAGGCCATTGGCCCTGGAACAGGGCACACACCCCCTGCAGTGTGGGGTACAGCCATAGACTTTTAGAGGGACCTCTGAGAGCATCTAGTTGAACTCTCCTCCTTTTACAGAGGAGGAAACTGAAAGCCTAAGGAATTAGGGCATGAGAGAACTTTCTTGAGACCCTTACCCCTCCCTAAGCCTCCCCCCCCCACACCCCTTATCCATTAATGTGTAGAGACCTATGTTTGAAAGTGAGAAGTGAAGGCATCCCCTGATAGGTTCTGGGGCAAAGCAGGTGGAGAATAACAAATTGTATTTGGGGGATGGGGCAGTGGGGGAGGTGGGGGCTGTGACTCTGCACCAGAAGAAGACTAGAGTCTCTGGTGCTGGGGCCATAGACAGCTGCATTTCCTTCCAGAACACAGTGTTTTCAGACCGGGAAGTCTTCTGCAAAGGGAAAGGGAGAGTTTCCTCAGGCCTAACTCAGCTGAGCTCCTCATATTTTTTTTTCTTTGAGTCCCATTCAGCATATGATCCCCTGCACAACCATTCCTCAACAAAAATTCATGTCCTCTGCCCTTCTCTGTTGTCTATCCTTTTTGACTCAATGGGCTGCTCTCCTTTTCCCCTTTCCACTGAGAAACTACCTATTCCAGTCCCCCAATCTGTGTCTGCCTGAGACTTTTTGATGCTGTGCCTTTTCTTTTAATTTATATGATAAGAATGAGACACTAAGGTCTTCTGGGAATTCACCTCCCTTAGGGAGTCATCTTTAAGCCCTAAATCTTCACCTAGTATAAACCTAGGAGCCTTCTTAGGATTTCCATAGGTTGGGGAGCCAAAGGTCAAGAGGCCTCTCTTCTTGCAATCTCCCAAGGAAGCTCCCTGTAGCCTGAGCTACATTATCATCCAGGATTCCCTTGAGGGATTCTCATTCTTCACCACTTAGTATCTTCTCTCCTCAGCCCTGAAGCTTGGCCTCCTTGGCCTGGTCTTGGAATGCTGCTTCCCATGCCCTTCACCTTGTCTTCTTGTCCAGACTGCCATTCTGTTATGTGAAACGATTTGCCGCCACCCTCTTCACAGCCTCTCCAGTGACTGGGGGCCCTAGGACATTGTCTGCTTATGACCAAGGAAGGCACAGAACAGAACTGGACTAAAGGAATGTCACCCAGTGAGGCCACAGTAGGACTTCTGGGATTCTGAGCTAACAGGGATTCACTCACTGCCCTTTAGCCCCAGAGGGGAACTGTGTCATTGTCAGAGCTGTCCCATGGTTTTATATCCAGGACCGGCCTCCTCAGTATGGTATTTTACTAACTATATGCCTAAAATTGTCTATGAATGTGAACAAACCCATCGTTGGGTTGTGTCCTTGTGTCTTCAGGGTTGAACCTGTGTCATAGCAGTTGTTAAGCACCTACTACGTGTTGGGCATTGTGCTAAGTCTAAAGATACAAGGAAAGGCAAAAGACAGTCCCTGCCCTGAGGAGCTTATAATTTTTGTGAGTGGGGGGAGGGTGTATGTGTATATGTGCGGGTGTGTATGTGTGTGTGTGCTCTTGGAGGTGGGGAGAGTCAGGTAAGGGAAACGGCACCATGTCTTGTACACAGTAGATACTTGCAAAATTTTGTTTACCGCAACCAAGCCTTGAATGGGGATGCCCAGGATGGTCAGGAAGACTTTTTCCCAATTCTGCCATTTTAACTCTCCTAGGTGACTATCCCTTAACCTCAAGCCTTAATTTCCTCATCAATTAAACAGGGAGAAAAACTTGGACTTACTATTTGGTGCAGATGAGGCTAGAATTAGCCATGTTAATCTCAACTCCAGTATTCAGTTCAGTGCTCTTATGGGCATTCTCTAACTGTATTTTATTCTTGACTTGGACCTTCAAGGAGGCCAGGACTGGGGAATTCAACCTCTTTCCCATTGCCAGCGCAGAATGGGAGAAGCTCATGGTAGGAGAGCAGGAGCTGGGAGGAGTGAGGATCTTCGTGGCACGGCCACGGTGAAGGCCCAAGAGCATTCTTAGAGACATTCCTCGGAAGAGGCACGTGCAACTTTAATCTAGAAGAATGGAAGGGAAGCTAGCCCAGGGTTAGCTTGCCTTCTCACAATGACAGAAAAAGCACCTTAGAGATCATCCAGTAGTTAAAGCTCCTCACTTGACCAATGAGGAACTTGAGATCCAGGGAAATGAATGGCAGCAGGGGTAGGACTAAAACTTCCTGACTTCCAGGCCAGGGACCCATCTCCTACACCACACTGCTTAGGGCCTTCTCTTCCCTAACCTAGTCCTTCTGTGTCCATATTCCCTTCTCTTCCCTGGCTTCCCCAAGGCCTAGATCCTGAACAGCCTGTCCTGTGCCCTTTCTGCTTACCCTCTCCACGACCCCAGCTTGGTCTCAGTCATATTCTAGGTTGCGAGTTGGGGAGGGGGCCATGCAGTGGGATTGTTCTGGAGCAAGAGATAAAGTTAGGCCTTTTGGGGGAGATCTGCCCAGTCTTCAAGGCCCCTATGGCTGGGTGTGTGTGTTGAATCTGTTCACTAGATGGGGCACTTCCTCTGGGACAGGAAGTTTAGATTTCCTGTGAGGGGGGGATAAGGGGTGGGGGGCTTGATATTGGGGACATTGCTACTGTTGTTATGTGGATGTAGAGAGGTATAGGGGGTGGGGATGTTGGCTTGGTACTGTGCCCATCCTCCATCCCCCCCAGGAAGCAGGCAGAGGGAGGGCATCAGTGGGAGGCCCAGGCTGATGCTACAGGGAGGAGGGAGGAGGGGGGCCCAAGGCAGTGGGGCTGGAAGGGCCAACACAGCAGGAAGCCGGGTCAGCAGGTGACTTAGCCGGGTATTGTGCTTCCTTGTAATATTTTCCCTTGTTTCTGTGGTAACTTTCCCAAAGGGATACAGGGGTCCTGGTCATTGGGAAATGCCCCCAGACTGCTCATTCCTTAGAGTAACAAGTACTGGAGCATAAACTTTACATCCCACTCCTCAGGTCACACATATAATATTGGGAACCTTGGAAAAAGAGGTTGGAGAGTATGCACAAGAGTTTGGGATAGAGGAAAGGTAGGAGTTTGGTGGGAATGGGGAAGCAATGGTTACGTAGGTTCTGCTGCCCTCAGGCTTCTCTGTTTCCTTGGATTGTAGGGGTAAAATTGAGAGGAGCTAGATAATATAAAATGTGGGCTTAGATCACCAAGGAATGGGGACAACTCTTCCCAACAAAAAGGTAGCTAAGAGGAAGTTCAGGAAGCTAGAGTCCCTACTTCCTCCATCTTTTTCTGTCTCTTCTTGCCTCTTCCCCATTCTGATTGCTAAGCTGAGATAAGAATAATTCTTTCAAAAGCATTGAATGTACCACCAGGGTCTCCATCTCTAAGCCCAGTTTTCTTGCTGAGTTCCTCTGTCAACTACCTCTAAATCGCCATGAAGTAGGAGATGGGCAGGTATGTTTCTCTAACTAGAGCAGTTGGGGTGGATAGAGAGCATCAGTAGAATGAAATGACTCAGGTCTTGGACCAGTGCCAAGTCGCAGAATAAATTCAGACCAGTGTGTGTATATGTGTATGTGTATGCAAGTTCATATAAACATACATAGATGCAAGTATGTGTTGGTTGGTATATGGGGAGTGCTGTGGTGGTACATGTATGTACAGGGTACATACATGTCCTTGTGTATTTATTGTGTTAGTTATATGAATGAGTATTATGCACATGCATGTAGTATATGTTGAGGTATGTAGTAAGATCTCTGAAGGATTTGTACACATGTAGAATGTGTGAGGGGGCAGGTGTGTGCCTATTTGTAGAACGCATACATAAATGTAAGAATGTGTTACTATAGAGTCAAGATTTTAAAGCTGGAAAGGACCTTAGAGATCATATACTCCTTGCCTTTCTTTCCACAGATGAGAAAACCTAGACCAAAAGAAATTAAGTCATTTGCTCAGGCTTATGAAAATAGTTAGTGGCAGGGCTGGAGAAGAGAATAATACTACCTTTAATAAGTAAGAGGATTGATATGGATATGCAGTTAGATGGGAGGGAATAAATATTTATAAGACACCAACTATATGGCAGGCACTGTGCTAGGTGCGTTATAATATTACCTCATTTAATCCTCACAACAACCCTAGGATGTAGATGCTATTATTATCCCCATTTTACAGTTGAGGAAACTGAGGCAAAGCGATAGAGTCACTTGCTCAGCATTTCACAGCTAGTAAGTGTTTAAAGCCAGATTTAAAATCAGGTCTTCCTGACTCCAGGCCCAGCTCTCTATCCACCATACCAACCTAGATACCTTTAAGGTTTACAAAGCACTTTATATATGAGGAAGTTAGTGTAAGTGCTCCATTTTACAGGTGAGGAAAATAATTAAATGACTTGCCAAAGATTACTCAGCCAGGTAACAGCAGAGCCTGAATTAGTATCTGTGTATGTGCGTATATAGCCGTCACAGTGATGATGCTGACATTTGGCTCTCTGGACAATGCTCCAGAGCTGTCTTCAGCTCATCTGTGTCC